CAAATTTAGCATTTAACCTAACTTAATAAGGATTTTTTTCTTTAACCTCAACAACAATTCTTTTTTTAAGTTGAGTTAATTATTCAATTTAAATGTAAATATTTAATATTATTTTTATGTATATAGTAAAGTTATCTATTAATTCTTTTTAATGTATGGGATTTTTTATCCTGTGTCTTAAGTTGTATTTATTACAATATTTTATTATTAATATTCATAATAAAAAAAATTGACGTTAAATTTATCAATTATCTAATAAAAAATATCTATATATTAAAGATGTTAAAATTAATGCTCACTTTTTTTATTTTTCTATGTAAATTAATGTATTAAAATTACATTTAAAACTTTTTTAACTTATGTTTTAGGATTCAAGTTAGATAAGCCCTTAATTTAATAATCTTTTTAATTTTAAAATTTTTGAGACTAAATTATCACCTTTTAATTTTTGAAAATTAATTTTGTGAATTTTTATTCTCAAACGTTGAGTTGCTGGATTCCCAATTAGACTGAAATCTTTAAACTTTTGTATTTAAGGATTAAAAACTCTTTAGCATGAGGTATAAGGGTAAAAGCTTTATGGTTAATAAGGCAAAAGGTTCGAACTTGATAAGGGAAACTGGTAAAATGCTAAACTAGCTTTTGGCCTTTCCTTTTTCTCCTTTCACACCATTCTTTGATTTTCTCGCTTTCCTCACGGAAAAGAAGAGGAATTGGTGGATCAGTTTTAATTGATGAAACAGGTTGAACGTTGGTTTTCTTCTGCATTTTCCCATATCCAATCGGTGATAACTTGCTTATTGATTATCCAAATCCAACCTCACATCTGTGATATCTTCTCACTTTCTCTCACTTTCCCACCTCACAAACAACATCTCTCGTCAAAAATCGTTAATCCAATCTCAACACTGCCTCCCAAATCCGCCACTGACCTCTTCTCATATCCGCTGGACTCTCATCCTCTCTGGTTCAAGCCAACTCTCTTCCTCTTGCCGGACTTCGACTCTGAATTCTACATTTTGGAGCGCCGAACATTTGTCCCTTTCGACACCTTCGATCCGAGCTCCAGTCCCATCTCTCCTCCCTCAACCACGAGCTTTTTGACCTCCTCAATCGTGACTATACTGACTTCGGGTATGTTGGGTACGTGGAAAGTTTTTTTTTTTTTTCCCTCCGAAGCTTCACAAAATATTACGGTTATGTTTGATACTACGGTTATGTTTGATATAACCTTAGAAGTTTTTTAAATTTTAAAACTTTTAACTACATCAAACATTATCATTTGAAAAATATATTACAATTTTTCATATATTAGTATTTTATTTACTTTATTACAAATCTCATAAGCACGCTTTTATAGAGTTTTTCATTTAAATTTTAATGAAATTAATATATTATTTTTATTTATTTTATTTTTTTATTTACAAAAACAACATTTCTATAACAATTTTATTCTAACAAAATTTTATTAAAAGCTTAAATCACACCAAATGAGCACTATAATTTATGAAAAATTTATAATTTCTCATAAATTAATCTTTTATTTATTTTATTATAAATCTCAAAAACATCAAATTGATATTTCTACACGAACTTCACATTTAAATTTTAATAAAATTAATATATTATTTTTATTTTATATTTATTTTTTTCTATTTAAAAAAAAATAAAAAACAGCCCTTCTACCAACTCATTTTTTACAACAAAAAAAAAAAAAAAAAAAACAGCCCTTCTACCAACTCATTTTTTACAACAGAATTTAATTCTATTAAAAGCTACAGCCACGTCAAACGGGCTTTTCGTGAATCTGTCAACTAAGCTCGTTGATGTGTATGCCGCCGTGGTTCGGATGCGGGTGCCGCTCTTGGAGCTCCGTGAAAGGATCCAAGGATTCAGGACAGCTGTTGAGAGCCTGCTTGTTGCTTTGAGAAATGGTCTAAGCCAGCGGTCAGAGGCTGCAGCTGCTAGGGAGGTGCTTGAGTTGCTGCTCGATACGTTTCATGTTGTTTCAAGGGTAACGTAATGTTCAGATTCTCTTTTCTGTGAAATCTGGAATTTTTTTCTGTTTTTTGCTGCTTTTGCTAGTAGAGTCAGAAGTTCAGAGTGAAATGCCTGATCCTTAGTTTCAAAATGAATATTATGTAGAACTACTTGTGTTTCAGATGAGTAGTTGAGCAGGGGAACTGAATACATTTTGACATTTCACCTATATTTGGATTTTGAAATTGGTATGAAGTTTGTTTATGGAAATCCTTAAGAAAAAGCCAATTTTGTAAAAGAGGGATCTTGGTTTCTAGTTCTTGGCTGAAAACTAATATCTTATTTTGTGAGTCATATGTTAGTACAGGTTATTGAGTGAGCTTGGATCTTTTGTATTCAATAGGGTTATTAATACATAGCATAAGGTTTAAGATTTTGTTGGAGTTTTATATTTCTCTTTGAAATATGGTATTTAGGAGTACTTTTTATAGTCAACTGTTAAGTGAGGGTCCTGGGTTTAGGATCTCACTAGTTTTAACTGGATCTAATGCCCTCAAATGAGATGATTCACCACTGACCTTGAAAAGGTTTTAGGAATTTCCTGTAATTGGAAATATGAGTCTAGTTGAACTTTTTTCAAATAAGTGTGATTTCATAGAACCTTGATGTTGCTTTACTATTGTGAATAATCCTTTCTTATCTATCCTACATGTTTAAGTCACTCTTTTATTTGTAAAATGAATAGCTGACCTGATGAGGCCAGGCTGAGTATGCTGTGTAAGTACAGGACTTCATCTTTTTCTTTTCTTTTCTTTTTTCTTTTTTTGGTATAATTATTATTGGTAAATTGTAGGTTGAAAAACTCATTAAGGAGCCACCAAGTGTGCCTTCAGATTGGTCGCATGGTGACATGAATTTGAAAAATGCTTTGAGCAATGGTTCTTCCGCACAACATGTTAAGAATGGAACAAATATCAGAGAGACTCAAAGCATGCTTTTGGAGAGAATAGCCAGTGAGGTTAATCGGCTAAAATTTTATATTGCTCATGCACAGGTATCTTTTTCTCTCTGTGTCTTTCTCCTTGAAGTTTTTACCTGTGTTTTTGGACCTTTTTAGCTACAAATAAATAGCAGTTTTGGCATAAAATCTAATTTTTTGTTTAAGCCTAATAACAGCTGTTATATTCTTGTTTAGTTTGCCTATTTTGAGAACTTTGTTATATTACTTGTACATTGCCACAGGAATTTGCATATAACCAACGTTGAATGGTATTACTGTGCCTGAAAATTCATGCACACAACTTGCTAGAGAATCTTTTTCTTTGTTCATGGCAAACTTTTAAGGTAGTTTTAAGTTTTGTCTAAGTTACCTTAAATACAATAAGTGTATGTTTTCTACATTAACTTTGCAATTTTATTTTTGACCTTTTTTTTTTTTGAGCTGTAAACTGAAAAATATTTGAACCATCGAAGGTACCATTTTTTCCCAGGATAGTGAGTAAAGAACAACACTATAAAAGAATTTGGAGAGATAATAAAGAACAATACTATTGAAGAATTTGCTTTTACAAGGACCGTAAAAGATCTGCCTATATTGTTGTACTTATGATTTTGACGATTACAAAACACATTTGAGTGACTAATTGGTTCATTTAAGTATGTGGTTAAATTGTCAAAAGATTACAAATTAAGTAAAGTTGGACTACATTAAAAATGGACCAAAAGGTTGAAATGTGCAGAGAGCCGGCTTAAGAAAATGTGCAGCCGGCTCTGGAAGGCAAAAATGCATAGAGCCGACTGCATATTTTAAGAGCCAGGTTTACGAGTGAAAATTTCAAGTCCGTTGTTTGGCGTATGCGGAAAACAAACGCAAAGCTGGCTCTGACTTTGCAGTCGGCTGTGATGACTCATTTAATGCACAACGATCGAGTTATTTGAAGATTATTTAATGTGTTTAAAGTTGGAATCCCAAAGCCGGCTTTATAGTTTGCAACTAGCTGTTCAAGAAAACAGAATGTGCAGAAAACCCGCAAAGTTGGCTTTACGTTTTGCAGCCGGCTCTATAAAGAAAACAGAATGTGCAGGAAACCTGCAAAGCTGGCTGCATATTTTTTAAGCTGGCTGTGAAGCCGGCTCTAGAAGTTTAAGCTGGCTGTGATAACAAACCTGCAACTCGAATTATGCGACCTACAAAGCATTAAATGACCTCCAATGACTAGTAACAGCTATTATCGACCATAGGGTTATAAATATGGTTGGTAGAAGATCTGAAACGAGTTTAAAGAGCATTGTATTGAATATCCCTACTTACTAACTAGTGCTTTAACTTGAGTATTTGATCTTTAAGAGATCTTTACTTGTAATCCTCTTTTTGTTCTATATGTGAGTGATCTTGGGGGTGTGAGTATTCCTTCAAGAGTGATTTTTTGAGAGAATTATTTGGGTTTATCTTGTAAAGGGGTGAGATTTGAGAAAAATACTCATTTTCTTGTAAAAGGATTAGGGACTCCTTTAAGCCACCTTGATTCTTGATAGTGAAGAGTGTGGAAGAAATCCTTGGTGAGTGAAGCCAAGGTAGAGGATTAGGTTCCAAGTAGTTGAACCAAACTTCTATAAAATCATTGTGCAAGCTCTTCTTCCTTACTCTCTCTTTGATTTTTGTTTGGTGATTGCAAAGAGATGAAAAATTTTCAACTCCAATTCACCCCCCTCTTGGAGTACATTGAGCCAACATATATGTGCAGAAATTACCAAAGAATCAATGAGTTGAAACTTGTTCTTGGGAACTCATACAATCTATTGTGTTCATTTCCTTTTTCCACCATGCTAGGACAGAACCTGCCTTTCATTCAGAACATGGATATGAAGATCGAAAGTGCTAGCCTTTTGTTAGATGCACGCTTGGGACATTGTTTTGTAGATGGGCTTGAAAACCGAGATGCAAATGCATTTTACAATTGCCTATGTGCATATGCTGCTATTGATAACCCAGGAAGTGCTGAAGAATGTTTCACACTACTATAGTGGCTCCACTGATACAAAAAAATTTTCCACATGGATCATCTGGTGTTGTGGTTGGGGCTTCTGGTGATGAACTTGAGAATGATTATAAGCAAATCAAGAGTTGCATTGAGAAAGACTGTACGTTCTTATTAGAAATTTCTTCTACAGGTATTTCTCTCTTTCTTTCCCTCCCTCCCTAGACACTCCTAGTACATTGGTGACTAACTTGCAGTTAAACAAAGACATCTCTTGTTGCCCAAAGAAAGCAAAACATTTTTGTCCAAACTTGGAAACATCTTCATATAAATCTTTTGGTCATTGCATCTCTAGACTGAACCAGTTATTATCTAATCATAGTCATTATTAATTGTTGTGAGAATCATAGAAGTTCCCCACTTTCCATCTCAGATTTCTGACTGCCATCCTTACCCTTTGGTCTGGGCCAAATGGCCGTCTACCTAAAAAATATTATTCTGGCCTTATCTACCAGGCATGCTTATTAACTCTGCAAATTCATAACTGTTTTATACATAAAGAGTAGGCATTCCTCTGGTCATTATTTATATGTCTGGGTGTGTATGGGGATGACAAACAAGGAATTTTTTGAGCAGCATATTCCCCTGGTTCTCTTTGCTTAAATTGCTGATTTTTCTGTTAGCTATTCTTTATTCTCTTTCCCCTCTTTATGGATGATCCTTGTTGGAATATATGAAATTCATTTTCAGTATACCTGATGCTAATATAAATTTATACTTTTGGACATACAGAAAATTCAGGTTTACATGTATTTGACTTTTTGGCCAATTCAATCCTGAAGGAGGTTCTCTCAGCTATCCAGAAGGAAAAACCTGGTGCTTTTTCCCCAGGAAGACCTATAGAATTCTTGAAGAACTACAAATCAAAGTATAGATTTCTTGGCTTATCTTAAAGGTAATTAGACTGCTGATTTTACCTTGGTGATTTGGGATTGCCATATGCTAGTTAGGCAATCAATTAATGCATCTGAAGCTTGTGTCTAAAAACATTACTATAGGAGTTCATTAAAGTTTTAGCATTATACTGTCATGCAAGGCTATTGTCCCTCTGGAGCTGCTGTTGCAAAATTTCAAGCAGAACCTGTATATGTTGAGTATATGAAGCAATGGAACATTGGTGTTTATTTCTCTTTGAGGTATCTAGTTCTAGTGCAAGTCTTAGGTGGTTTTCAACTAAAAATTTGGTTGATTATCATTTAGTGATCTTGACTCTTCTCATGTTTTCAAGTTCAACCACTCAGGTTTCAGGAAATAGCGGGGGCTTTGGATTCTGCACTTGCAGTGCCCATTCTTGTTCCTGTTCAGAGTTCACACTCTGATGAAAATTCTCAGGACTTAACTCTTAAACAAAGTGTTACACTTTTGGAGAGCTTGAGGTCCTGCTGGAGTGAAGATGTTCTTCTCATCTCTTGCGCTGACAAGTTTCTTCGCTTGTCTTTGCAGCTCTTATCAAGGTTATTGTCTGAACATTTGAGATAGTATCATAATTTAACCTCATGTATCTATCCTCATTCAACTGCAATTGTGATTTATAGATACTCAAATTGGTTGTCATCTGGATTGGCTGATTGGAAGAAGGGTAGTGTGAGCTCTAATCCTGGATGTGAGTGGGCTATTTCGGCTTTGCCAGATGATTTTGTATGTGTACACTCATGCCTTGATTATTTCAAATGCTTTATATTTTGACCATATTTATTAAATTCCTTTTTTTAGGTATTATGTCCCTATAAAGTGTTTTCTTGTTCCCCAGGTTAGACCTTCTGAGCTACATGCTAGGATGTGCACATAACTACAACTAAATATTTAATTATGTTAGTTTTTTAGTAGATGCATGTTATCTAGTTGATGCCAGATTGGAATGATGATGTTTTGATATCATATTTATATATGCTTTATGATTTGCAGATTATTCATGACATTAATTGGCTAGCCAAGAGAATTTGTGGTGACTACCTAGAAGGCATACTGCAGCTTTTATCTACTTGCTCCACTGAAGTCCTTGATCTAGTAAAGAAGAGCATTTTACATGGTGGAAAATCGCTGAGTGATTTGTTACCCTCAGTTATCAACACAATTATAGAAGCACTCGTTGACAAGTCTGTTGAGGTGAGCTTTATTTTGTCAATCAGATACATATCAACATGTCACTCTCTAAATATGAGGACTGTAATAGATTTTGTAATAGATTTTGTGAATTCTTTTATGAATCTTTTCCAGATACATTATGAAATTAAGTTTCCTGATTTTTTTTTAGCTAATTTATCATTCCACTTTAAACCATGTAGGACTTGAGACAGCTAAAGGGAATAACTGCAACTTACAGAATGACAAATAAGCCTCTTCCTGTCAGGCATTCACCTTATGTGGCAGGAATATTGAGACCATTGAAGGTGTATACAGTCTTCTTAGTTGATAACCCTCCGCCAACCATTTTTGGTTCAACTTCATAGTTCTATGCTCTCTGTTTTGCCTGATTCCTTATGCATGGCTGATGTAGGGTCACCCTGTTTGGATTATCTCATAGCTTTAGCATTGTAGATGGTTAGTGCTGTATACTTGTTTGCATATGTTCTACTGTTTAATGAAGAATGCATGTAAGATTCTAAGTTAACTTTCTCAGGGTTGTTGTGTAGTAAGTATGTTAAAACTGAGTTCATCCATCAAGAAAAGAGAAAAAGAAGGGTTTCATTCTGAAACCTTTCATCAACAGAACAACTTCATGAGCAATAAAAGCAAAAGTTCAAAATTTTTTATAGATGCAGCCTGAATTTATATGCATGCTTTTGGTTCAAACTGTTCATGAAGACTACTATTCTTGAAAAATTGTTTTCAGCCTTAGACATACAGATAATGAATAATGATCATTGTTGATCGCTTATTGATGTTAAACTGCCCTCCCTTCTCAGATTGCAGGCTGTTCTAGATGGAGAACGAGCAACAACATTTTTGACAGAAGATGCTAAGAATAATTTACTGCTGGGAGCTACAGCAGAAATTACTGGGCGTTACCATGAGCTGTCTGCTGACCTTGTCAGCGTGTTAATATCGCGGAGTGAAATCTCTGATATTTGAGCCTTCCATTTATCCAAAGAATTTTGACTTAAAAAGTTTTGATTTCCATGTCCAGGCTAGAAAAACAGAGTCCTCACTCCAGAGAATACGACAAGGTGGACAAAGACGTGATGGGGCAAGCTCAGATGTGTCAGATCATAATGTATCTGACACTGACAAGATTTGCATGCAATTATTCTTCGATATTCAGGTAGGCGTTTTAATCCTTCTCTCTTTATCAGTTACAAAAACCACTAATGTAATTCTACACGATTCAAACAGGAATATGGGAGGAACCTTGCTGCTGTGGGAGTTAAAGCCGCTGATATTCCTGCATATAGATCCTTGTGGCAATGTGTTGCTCTCCAGACAGGCAAACTCTTACAAACTTTTTAAAAAACAATTAGCTGCAGCAGCTGTAGGCAGTAGGCTGTAGCATTATAATATGGTTGATCTTGCCTGGAAATACGATTTCTTCCTTTTATTAATCGCAATGATATAGCAATTGTTGAGCTTTTGTTGTTACTTTTATCATTTGCCTTGCAGTGGCAGAGACAAAAATTTTGTATAATAAACTTAGGTCAAGTTCTTTGTCTAGATTCGAGATTTGTCACCTAAATGAAATTGTACAATTTGTACCACAACAGATTCTATAATCTGTATCAAAGATTATGAGAACTAAAAACCATACCAAAGTCCAATGACAACACATCATTTTCCCACTTCGTCTGTCATTGTTCTGTGTTTCTCAAATTATCTTGAACAACTAGACTTCAATTTAAACTGAATGATATCAGATGTGCAGATAAGAACTCGCACCGTACTGTTTCCTCCAGAATGATCTCTTTTTAACTTCTTTGCACCAGTATTTTTGCAAACCGATATTGCAATACTATGTTATGTTCGGTATAAAGAAAGCTGTGACTGGAGACACAGATCACATGAGATAGTCCAGAGTTTCTTTGCAAGTTCGGAATTGTTTGAAACTACAGAAGAGTCAATAGTCCGACCCTTTCCACCAAAAAAATATACCCCCGATGTTTCCTGAAACAAGCAAAAACCACTCATCAGCTCTGAAATTACTGGTCACTGTATTCAACAGAGACTGCCTCAGCCGGAGGTAAAATGTTATCGGTACTTGTTAATTTTCAGAACCAGTCGCCAGTTAAGAATATGGTAAGAAAGAGTGAAAATCTGCAATGTTCGGAGGCTCACTGGTGGGGCAAGGGCTGCATCAATGATGGAGCTGACGCCATTTGTGGGAAATTGCAGCAGGCCTAGAAGCCTCAAAACTAAAAAGGCAACATACGAAAGACAATAAGGGACTTCACGCATGATGTTGGTTTCTACCACTCCAGGATCGGCAGCACTTCAAGATCAAACAAAGCAGAATATAAACTCATCAAGAGCGGGACTGCAGGAGAGGTAATCACTTAGAAACATATTATCCTTGAAGTTGAAAAGCATGATAGATATGCCGCTTAAGAAAATTTCTAAAAAATTGCTCTGAAAAAGGATCAAACTTTCCATGGTAAAAGGGGGAAGAATTTTGTTGTCAATGGTGTGAGATGCCAGAAAAGAAGCACTACTTGATAAACAACTAGGAAATAGAACGAAAGATAAGCCTTCTAAAGACTACATGAAATGAATATGTGTTCCACCAAATGCAACTTAACTCAAAGATATTAAGAAAAGAAACGACAGAAGAAAAAGAAAGCATTTAAACTCATACATTACAGAGATGTTCTGATATTTGTCCATCAACCCAACTTGCCGATGAAGTTCATATGAAAAGAGAAGTAGGCATACTGGCAAAACAAAATGAATGATGCATCATTGATAGCATTGAAGATAAAAGGTTATCTAAATTATCTTCTACAGAATCAGATCTTACATTTGGAATACTCATAGACATGAGCATATGGATACCGTTTTGCTCTCAAGAAACATCTCCCAGTAACATAGTCTTTGTCAACCTGTACATCATGCACTGAAGTGAAAAGTGTTAATGCAATTAAACTATGCAATTATATCATGACAAATTGCAACTCTAGTTATCTTGAATAAAACAATTGCCAAAAACATCAATTTAACTGAACAAACATAAAATGTAACACAAGGTGATAAAAAAAAGAGGGGATTATCGGGAGGATATACACTGAAATTCCTTTTAATACAAGTACAACATCCTCACTTCTAGTCTAGTCATATAAAATATATGTCAATTTTGCACCTAGTGACATCTCATGGAAGTGATGGTTAATAAGGGGGAAAAGGGCCATAGAAACTACTCAGTAAACAAATGATTCAAGTGCAAAATTCAGTATAATTCTTACAGCTTCTATGTGTGAAGGATGTTACATTAACTATCCGAGAAGGAATGGGGCTGTTCTTGAGAAGAGGTAGTAAGAGCTTTGTGAGACAAAACGGACCAATGTAATTTGTACCCAACATCCTGAAAAGTATCAGAACTTATGAAATCTAGAGCAATCAGACACTGCTTTTGGAACATGGCTCAAGTGGAAAAGAAATAAGTCAGAATACTGAGACAATAGCTGGTCTCAAATTTAGCTTTAACAAAAGGAAAATGCAGCATATATGATCTTTGGCTTTAGTCAAATTGTCAAAAGAACACCATAAAGCTCTATTGATTCAGCGTAGTGCAGGTCATTACTCATCATAGCCCTCAGGTGTGAGCCTTGATGATGTTGCCAGTATCCCAGCATTATTTATCAAAAGCTGGATTGACAAATGCATTTCTGAATTCAAAAGCCATTGCTGAAGTGAGCTTTTAAAGTCCAAGATTGACTGAAATGACATGAGGTCAACCTGAAAAGCCTTGAGATAAGCATCTTCTTTCTGGGTTTTTATCTCTGTCACAATCTGTCAAACATTCAGCAATTATATAAAGTAGGCGGGAACCTACAATGATGAACCTATCAAATTTTCTATTACCTTAGATAACAAACAGGATGAGCGTCCAACTGCAGGAACAACAAAATATCAGCCAAACCAGGCACCCCAATGTCACGACATTTCATAAAAAACACAAGGAGCCGTATCGATTGACAGGATAGTTTATCAAGTATCAATCACCAAAAAAGTCTTTTAGTACATCTTTGCCATTCCATGAGAATCATCAGGATACATCCTTGAATGGCACTAAATTAAAATGCAATTAAAAGAAGAAAGCAAATTGTTTGTCTTCATAGGATTTATTTTTTTGGCGAACAACTCAAAAATTTTGTCTTCAAAGGATTACACACAGGTCAGGACTTCTAAACCATACATTGGACGTGGACTATGCAAACAAACGTATTCTCCAGAATGAATCATTCTGTCTTCTAAAACGCACAAGAGAGATGGTATTTTAATAATTTATTAAACCAACCAGTAAGCAAGTTACCATATTATCAGTCCAATGAATAGAGCTAACAAAAATTGAAAAAAATCACTAAAATTGGTGAAGTGGGATTGGTGATGGTACCTACCAAGAACAACATAGAAACCTTCCCTTGAAAGAGCATGAGCTGCAGCTGCTCCCAACCCAGATGTAGCCTGAAAACAAAGAAAAAAAAGGGGGGGAATTACACACACAAAGCAAATCAACATGAAATAGATTGTGATCGTAAGGACTACTGGGTCAAAAAAAAAAAGATTTCTTACACCCGTGATAACAGAAACGGGCCTCATAGTCTGACTCACTTGAGGCTTGCAGCGCGGAAAGCAGTAAGATTTTGAAGAATGCCTTGTGGTGTATAGCTGCCAGTAAGAGGTCAAGAGCGAGAAGGTCCAAAGCACGGCCATTCTCCAAAATTCCACTGAACATACAAAACACATAGCTTTTCCAAGTTCCCTCATAATTGCTACCATCTTTGTCCACAAAACACAGGCGACACCTAATAACCAGAGAAGAAGACACCTAGAATTCCTTCAGACAAATTGGTGGGATTAGATGAATCCGAGCACTAAAACATAGGACTTCGGACCCTCGTACCAAATTAATCAACAAAGAAACATGTTGAATTACAGCGTCCGTGTGTCAGCTACTCCGCAGCACACTTATCTTGCTAGCTTGGTCTCAGCGCCGGCCGGAACTCGCGAGGGTAATAAAGAATTTGATTATTTATTTATTTATACCCGAATCGAAACCGAAACCGAAACCGAAACCGGAACCGGAACCGGTGGACTGCTCTGCAATTGCCTTTTTTTTTCTTTTTCTTTTTTTGAATTTTTAATAGTTTTTAAGATATTTTTTATGAAAAGTCGCGTCTCAAACAAAAAAATAATAATTCTACTATTTTCAACGAAAAAGTATCAGCGTAATGTATCGTTTTACGGACACGTTTGGTAGAGTTTTTTATGGTTTTTATTTTTTTTAGTATCGTTTTTAAATAATAAATTTAAATTTTTATTGAAAAAAAATTTTAAAATTATTTT